TTAGTACTGCACAAAGCTGTCAGCCAATAAATAAAACTGCTCACGCCCCTCCCTTGAAAACAACACAGCCTTCAAAGAATATGCCCCAAATAGTAGTTTTGTTCAAGGGATGAACATTTAAGGCACACATTTGTTTTTGGTTTTTCCTGAACCATCGTGGCTTCGACAGAGGAGTGCTTAACTGCGAGAATAAAACTATCCTTCCTGCAAGTTGCACAATATCAGGAACTTGAGCTACTGTTGCCCAAAGTTAAAACAATTGCTTCACTCTCTAGGCCTGTGCATCTGTCTTATTCTTAAGAAACCTCCTCTTTAGGCTATAAGGCACAAAGAAGATAAACAGAGGCTGATTATCACCCCAGAGAGTAGCTTCCCTGGCCTGAAGGAGGAGAAAACAAATAAGAAGCAGTCTAATAGCACCTGTTCAAACTAGTACTTTTTTTTTATTAAAAGGCCTAACTGCTTTTGTGAACTCTGGCTCACTTCATCAGATGCAGTGCAGCAGAGTGACTAGGCTGTTGCAAATTTTAAATTGGAATGGAAGTGGGGGTGGGGGGGTAAAAAAGGGAAGACAAAAGAGAGTGTAGCTATGCAAATCCAGGTTATATATGAAAAAATATTAGAGAATCATTAAAATTAACAGATTAAAAAATACCTTAGACTTCAATAAATTAACCAAATATTTTTAAAAAATTCATATAACCAAATCAAATGGCTGATTTGTAAACTCTTTAGTCTCATTTCTAAATGTTTGGAAAGCAAATAAAAACTCTAAGTTATTCTTATTAAATTAAATACAATCAATTATTTTATAAAATTTATACACCATACATCTTTCAATTAAATTAAAGGGGATGTTACATGTAATACCCTGTATCTTATGTAACTGTAATGCACCTGTGAATTTTCTTTTAAATATTATTCTTTTGGTAATTTGGAATACTAAAGTTGAATACTAGTCTCTTCCACATACACTTGAGGCAAATTTTCCCAGTTATTTTTCTGATCTGGGATTAGGATTCAAACACACACACACACTCGATGGGTGGTCAATGGTACGATGGGTATGTATGTACGTATGTACGTATGCGTATATATGTACATCACAGAAGTGAATACACCCCCTTACATTTTGCTAACTGCCTACAGTTACAGATCTTCTGGTATTTTCCTATAGAGATGTAAATCAGGTCTAACCTCAACTTTTGAGCTCAGGCAAGATTTTTGTTCCCCAAATATACCAAAACAAGACTCATACGACTCCTCTCTAGCACTCTCCATTAAAACATACTGGGATATCAAAGAATCAAACCTGGTCTTTAAAAAGAAAGTAAAGTTCATGTTAATGATACTTAGATTTATGAAGAAATGACCTTGATCTTAGTTGAATGGAAAAACACCTTGCTGGCACAGGGCCAGGCAGTTAAGCAATTCCAGTTGCTTGAAATACCTGTCACTGATTTAAATACCATCCTTAGTTCAAAATCCTGCATGGTCTCTCTCTCTTAATCACTGTCATCTCTCTTTCCTTGAGACCAACTCAATTGCAGTAGGAGACTCTCACTGGCCAGCTTGAGGCACCAGATAGGAATCAGAAACCTGCCTTATCACTTGTACTTGGGCTTATCTAACACACACACACAGACACACACAATCTCTGTTCCAACCTTGGTTTTGTAGCCTTAGTTTCATTTTCCTCCCCAATGACCCAAATTAGTTTCCTTCAGGAGGACTCAAACACTTATAGAAAAATATTCCCTTTAACGGAACTTCTCCTGGCTGCTCCCATTCTGCAGAGGTGCTTTTATGTGCTTATTGTTCTCTTTCTTTTCTTAATTTTAAATTCCAAGCATTATGAATTACAACACTCTTCAATATGGTACACAACATCTGAGATTCATTTACAGCAAGTACAATAGATAATCGAAATATTGAAGAGGAGGAGGAGGAGGAGGCTGTCTCAGCCTCACCCAGAATAGATGACGATCTTTGTCCAAACCAAAATGTAATTTATTCATACATTAGGAAGAAAGTTGGAGCAGGTCCTGCTGCCCACCGGATCATAAATAGGCGGGGAGGGTCTGTGTGTGTGTGTGTGTGTGTGGGAGAGAGGGAGGGAGGGAGCCATAATGAAAGAAACGCGACTACTAGCGGGATGGACGGAGGCGTGAGGTAAATGCGCCGTTCTTGATACTTGAAATTCTATATGGCTACTTTTCTGATCGAAATCTGTTAGTCGATGCATCTTGTCCTACACAGCTCAACCTTTGCCCCCAAAGCCCTCCTCATTTTCTGCCCCCTTAATTTTGATTCCCGACGGGAGAAGCTGCTCCAACCCACCCGCCGCGCCCTCCTCACCGGCTCCTGTTCGAAACGCCCAGGGGTTCCTGGCTGGGGAAGGGAGGATGCTGTCTGCACATGCTCAGGGACACTCGTCCCTTGTACCAAGGGCGCCGGGCCGAGGGTGCGAGCGCACCGTCTTCCTCCCCTCCGGCTCTTCGCCCTCCTGCTCAGACTCACCCGCCGACCGCGACCGCAGCTCCGACCAGCCGGACCACCCTTTGCGCTCCATGCCTCCCTCTGCCTCCCCCCCCGCGGCCGCAGCGGCGCCTGAGAATGACGCCATCGAGCTGCGTCACCGCCGCCGGAGTCGCTCTGCGGCGCCCGCAGGCCGCGAACCAGACGCTCCGGCGCTGGCCCCGAGGGAGGCCTCTCCGGCCCTGCAGCAGCGGAACGGAGACGCGGACGCCGAGGGCCGCTCAGCCTTTTCCCCCTTCTTTAGCCAGAAGGCGAGGAAGGGTGGAGATTCCAGCCTCCGTCCTACAAAGGCCGAGCTGCTCAAGGGCTCCTTCTGCGGCTGCCCCGCATCCTTTCCTCCCAGCAGCAGCAGCACAATCGGGGACCTACGCTGCATCGCCCAAAGCATCCGCTCGCCCACCCGCGGCACCAGAATCAGCCGGGAGCGGAGACTTCTGGCGATGCGGTGCGTTTCGAGCAGAATAGGCTTCTCCGCCATTCCCTTCCCGGCCAACCAGGTTCTCTGGCCGCCTTCTGCGCTCCCTGCTTCCTGTGAGGATTTGAAGACTCCAGTGGGACCCTGTGTGAAAATAAATTGTCTCTACCTTCAGTTTTCTGTGATTTGACCACATCCATTGGTCCATAAACTGGTGACAAAGACAGGACTGCTGAGCTTCTTTGGGTTTGGCTGCTTTATGAGGGAGCCAGGCAAATTCTGCTAAGGCTGATCTGTAGCAACTTTCAAGGGCTTCCTGGCCTTAGTGTCATTTATTCATTTACTTTGTATAGGTGCCCGTCTCAAGCCATGACTGGGCAGTGGGCAGTCATAAAAACAACAGGTTAAAAACTATATAAAAATAAAATAAAGCTGGTACGTATCCTTATAGGGTTCCCTTAATGTTATTTCTGACATTTTAAGAGATTCACAAACATAAAAATAGCTGCCATGGGAAGCCTGCCTATTCACAGAATCACAGCCATTGGGGGAACGTGTCACAACATCTTTTTCAGATAGTAACACTTATTTGGTGCCTTCAGTGACGATTCCTGGAGATTATCTGAACTAGGCCCTGCAATATTCTTGGCAAAGGCTTTTCGGAAATGGTTTGTCACTGCCTGCTTCAGAGGGTAAAGAGAGTGTGATCTGCCCAAGGTCACCCAGCTGTTTTTCACCCAAGGCAGGGCTAGAATCACATCTCGGTTTCTAGCCTGAGGTCTACTACTACACCAAACTAACTCTGGTTAGAGAGTAAAAAAAGAGACAACAAAGAAGAATATTTGTAGCTCAAGGTTGAAATGAGGGGTCCTTCTCAGCTTGTTTTCTTGAAGACATCTTATTCAAATTAGGTAACACCATCAGTGGTAGTTAAGTACTAGACTAGAACTGATTTTATCTAGTTTGGATAATATAATGTTTGTAAGAAAACAACCAAGCTCAGAGAGCACTAAGAACTTTTCAGAATCTCAAATGCCTTTTCATGTGTTTGTACCATTCAAACACTAGAGTACTTACTAGAAGGCATATGGACAAGCAAACTCGATTGTATCTAATGTATATACAAATATATATATACCATAAACCTCCCCCAATGCATCCTGGGGAAAGCATGTTGTACATACAAACAAAACATGCAAAATTCCAGGTAAAAACAAGCCACTTCCCACATACAATACATTGTGCAAGTAATTGAAATTTGAAATTGAATAAAATTTGTATGCCGCCCACTCCCTTGTGTGACACATACTTTTTGTTGCGAATCAAACAACAGAAGCTGTAGGCACCTTTCATTGCTTGTATTTTCAACCACAAATAATGGAGTTGCCAGATAAGAAAAAACCCCAGGAGTCAGGACTCTTTTCTTGCAGAAGAAAAGCCCTGCATAAATATATTCATTCACAATTTTCAAGATAGACTCAGGAGAGAGTTCGGGATAGGATAAAGAATTGACTTCAGGATAGACATTGTAAAACCAACTGGTCTTTTGCAATTGCCAGGTTTTTGATATTACATATACAGATGTATATTTTTATATCTGCTTCGCTACTTGCCTTCAGCTGCCATAGAAACGGGGGGGGGGGGGAATTTGGGATGGGAAATAATTGGGACAGGAGGTTAGTTAAAAAGGGAGTTTTTTTCTGTTTGGAGTTGGTGAAGGCCAACCGTCCTGCATACCAACCTGATGATGCTTCTTGGAGATGCACCCACATGACACCTAAGGGATTTGCAGATTGGGCATTGGGGTGGGGGGAAGGGGTTGGGCAGATGTTTGATATGTATGATGTCATGCTTTTCTGACTCAGACCTTGCTTTACTTCACTGCTATCTTTTCATAACCAGTAAAAATACTCTTGATTCTACAAATGGAGTTAAGTGGTTTCTTTCCTGGTTGCTGAAGGAGGGATGCTTGACAGATTACAGTGCTGCGGTATTGACAATATTCATAGTATTCAGGATGAAAACCCAGAATAAATTCTTTTCCTTCTTCATGTTTTTCTCATAATTATTTATTAGAATAATACTGTTAGCTATAAATAACTGATGCTTATAATCCAGAACTGTACTTCATAAATTATACTAACAGGAAAAATTCAGATTAATATTGTATTCTTTGTTACAGTTGTATTACATTACTGCTTTAAAACAACTGCCCTTATTTAACATTATTTGGGTCGCTTGATTTTTTAAAACTAACTTGTTATTTAACAGACAAGAACATTCAGAGGTGGGAGGATGGAATTAATCCCTCCCTGTAATAAAAGTCCAACAGGGCAATTTCTAAATTTCTGCTTCTGAAGATAAAAATTCCCCAATGCTTTTAATCTTTTGGATCAGGAGCTATTTTGTAAAGTTGAAGATAAAATGATAAAATCTGTAAGATTATCTGCTCAAAGCAACTTTATCAGGTGAGACCAGCCTTGACTGTCACCGGAGGAGGGATCAGAACTAGACCAGAGAGAATTCCGGGCAATGATGGGCCACTGGGGCACTTTGGCATTACAGCGAGGAGAGTTTTCAGTTCAAATTCTGATATCCATAACGAGCAAGGTCAGAAGAATGTCAATCAGTAAACAAGCAATGGTCACTACAGATGACACACACCTGGAAATACTACAGAGACCAGCAGAACACCGGTAAGATGGAAATTCATGTATCACTTTTAAACAGGAAAAGTCTTGCTCTGTGTTTTTAAGCAGCTGTACTTGCCCCTCCCAGGCCCACTCATTAATTTCAGTTCATTCTAGAGCATTCCGAACCCGCCAGGTACCAACCCGATGAGAATATTTCATGTTAGAGAGATGCTCACTCCTTTGGATGTTGCTTGAAGAATAATGCCACTGGGTCAGTTCTTTCTGAGGCAAATGGATCCACCAAAATACCCAGTGGAAGCCTGGGTGACTTAAGGATCTCAGAAGTAATACAAAGGTTTTGCCTTGATTATTCCTGCCATGTCCTTTTTACTATTCCTTTTTCTTCTTCTAAAATAAAGTTATTTTTTTAAAAAGTTGTTTGTTTCTCGTGGTAATACTTTGAAAACCTTCTCGTTTCACCCAACCTGAGAAAGGTGGGATCTACTGTAGTGATTTCAATAAAGTCTAATGCAGCCATGCGATGGTTATTTTAAAAAGTATCCTTCCTCCTTCTCCCCAGGAATCTTCTTAAGCAGAGGACTATTGCAACAGCTCTGTAGGGAACAGACACAGGGCTCACACTGCGACCTCTCATATCGCAAACCCTGCTGTTAAAGACCACTGTTCGCTTATTTGTAGTCCTCTTCCAGACACTTTGTCTCCCAGACAGTCCATCAGGAAGCAGCAAAACAGTCCCCTTCGTTACCATGAAGCTCTCAGTTCACCACCAACACATTCTCCTGCATCGGGCTTCTGTGAGTGAAACAAGACGGCTATTAAACTCTGTTCTCCTCCCAGTGAAGAGCGCAACATGCGTCCAGCTCCCCAGCACTGCTTGCACTCCAGGGTCCTAAGGTGAACCACTGCATGGCTGGAAGAGTCACTCAGTGCTGGATTTGTTGGAATAAGCACAGTGCTGTGCAATCCCAATTACCCAGCCCTAAACTGATAGTAATGAAGGCAGGCACCGTACCCATCTCACAGACCCTACCGTTCACAGCAGCAGAAAATAGAACACGAAGAGCTTTTTTCCTTGCGGAACATGCCAGATTCAGGGCTGTCTTTGCATTCGGCTATGTAGGCCTGGAGCTGAGTGACAGATGCTTCTCCCTCACACTGATGCTGAAAAGAGAAACAAGCTATTGTCACTGTGGTGGCCAAGCTGTGGCCTTGAGAGTTAGTGCAGATAAGAAACAAAACAATGGATACTAGGTCTCTCTTTATTGTAAGGTCTGAAAGTATATCATCTTCCCCTCTCTTTTAATGTTCAAGAAACATGGGGAGATCCCTTCTGAGATATTTGCCACGCCGTCATTCATTCTGCCAGGCTCAAAAGCATCTTATCTGAGGGTTGCCTAGTCAGCAGCTCTTCCGCCTGCCTCTCAAAAGCACCCCCACATCCCATAATAAGCTGTTAGTGTTCATATGCATCACCTTGATTACAGTCTCTGCAGTTAGGGCATTTCGGGAACTATAGGTATTCATACCATCCCTCTTGTTAAGGTAGGAAAGTTAGAAAAAGAATAAAAAGAATATCTGCTAGAGCTTATCGCATATTTGTGATAAGGAAGCCTACAAGATTCAGGGCAAAGCTGCTTAATTCCATCATGTATACTAGCAAGGTGCGCAATAGCTGGGAAGCCGACAGCCCAAGTTTGAGACCCAAGTGTCGCACATGAGGTGAGCTCCCGTTACTTGCCACAGCTCCTGCCAACCTAGCAATTTAAAAGCATGAAAATATGAGCAGGTATCACTTTGGCAGGAAGGTATTCTATGCACCCTGGCGTGTAGTCATGCTGGCCACTTGACCAGGGAAATTAGAACACTGTCTCCCTTGGCTAGGAAACGGAGATGAGCTTTGCTCCCTAGAGCTGGGCGTGACTGGAGAGGGAAAACCTTTTCCTTTCCATAGGACCGGCAACCTCTAAGGAGACTAACCTTGATCGTCTCATAGGATCCGGTGATGAGAGCAATGAAGAGGCTGAGCACCATGTAGATGAAGAGGCTGATGAAGGTGTACAGGTACAACTGACTGAAAAGCCACACCAGGTAGCTGCTCTGCTGCATGCTGGCAAAGGTCACAAACATGTCATCCCCATTGATGAGAGAGAAGAGACACTCAGACACCATTGAGAGCGAGCGGAACTGAAACCAAAAGAATAGACAAAGATCGATAAAAGACGCCCCAAATCTGGACACCACAATCCAGCAAAAGCAAAACAAGCGTGTAAAAGGGGTTCCTGCAATTGTGATATATGTCACAGGCAGAATAGCATCTGCCAGCAAAGACTTCCTCCTCTCTCTACTCCTGTGAAGCTCCCACAACTGCTCTGGGAAAGGCATTGGGATGGAAGGGGGAGGAATACATTAGAGATCCATCCACAGCTCAGAGGCCTCAGAAACCTTGATCCCTCCGCAGCTTCTGTCTTCCAAATAAAAGCAGTTACATCCTCTTCTAAGGAACATGCATGTCATTACGTGATTTGCACCACAACAGAAGTTTAATCTTCTGCCTCTTGTGTTCACGCTTGGGGTTTCCTCCTACCTTGACATGATAGGGGCCCAGGACTATCCATCCACAGAAGCAGTAGCCCAGGTAGATCACTGCCACACAGCAACAGAAGCGGATGACGTTGGGAAGAGCCACCCGCATAGTAACAATGAGGATCTAGAAGACAGGAAGAAAAGGCAGTCTGAGATTAGGCTCCGGAACTTTTAATCAAGCCAGATGTGACCCAAACTGAGGCCCTGACAGCCCTGGAAACGTGGCTGAGGTAGGGTTTGATCCTAGGAGCAGTTTTTATACTTTGAGGAGCCCAACATTAATTTTTTAAAAAAAGGAACTCCCGGATTTCCTTATGTTCTTTGCTGGCTCTTTCTTTTACCACTACTAACCTGGGGGATGCACTGGAAAAAGAAAGAAAAATGTCTTCCACTTACATTGTATTTTTGAAAGAAACTCAAGTAGCGCATGACTCCAACCCAGACCAAGAGGGTGGAGGTGCCCAGAAGGATGCCACAGACATCATAGTCAGCAAAGTTCTGCAAGCAAAGAGCACCTTATGCAGAGATGCTGTAGGAGGAGGGATCGGAGCAGGCTGTTCGCAGCTCTGCTTATCATCCAAACCCGAGATGTTCCTAGCACTGAAGCCCAGGACCTGCTTACCTTGGACTCTATCCCAATTTTCATTATTGTGCCAGACACTGTAAGGATGTCGCTCACCACTAGCAAAATGTACCAGCCATTAAGAAATTCCATGCGATCAGAGAGGCAGATATTTTGGCTGTAGCGTTGCTGAAAGAACTGGCTGAACTCCTGTATGGGGAAAAGAACCATTATGAACAGGTAGCCTATCCTCAAAACACAAACTCTGTTAGCCTATGACCCGGCCTTTCTGCACGGTTCTATCTCCTTCCCCTGAGTCGAGGCAAGAGGGCAAGGGGAATAGAATTCAGTTTGGAAGAAGATTAGCTTAGTTTCAAAGACTTGGGACTTGCCAAATTATTCATCTCCCCTAAGCCAGGGCCAGAAGAAGGACTGATTCATTATTTGAAGCATTTCCCTTCAAACATCACCATGTTTCTAATGCTAATCACTCAGTATCACCTAGCAAAAAAATGCTCAACCCAAAGCAGTCCTGGAAAAAGTTAAGATGACCGTAAAAACTCAATGTTGAAGAAAGGAGTGTACAAAAGATCTTTCAGTTTCACTGAAGGTATTCCAGCACTGATTTGGACATACGAAATGTCTGAGCCTGAAATAGATCAAATTAAAAATGCCATATTTTTTGGACTATAGCACACTGGAGTATAAGACGCACCGAGATTTCGAAGAGGAAAACAAGAAAAAAAAATAGTTTTTCGCCTCCGGGCATCCCGTGTTTGTCCTCCCCGGCCCCCAGGAGCACTCTGCAGGCCTCTAAAACCCTATGCACTTCCCATTTTTGCAAAAAACAGGCCCGTTTTTGGCTTCCCAAATCCCCCACGCACCCCATTTTTGCCCTCTCCACCCCAAGGAGCATCTGCAGGCCTCCCAACCCTTCACACATCCTGTTTTTGCCAAAAACAGGCCCGTTGTTGGCGAAATCGGGACATGCGGGGAGTGGGGTGGGGTGGTTGGGAGGCAAAAAACAGGGCTGTATTTGGTCTAGAAGACGCACAGACTTTTCCATCCACTTTTTTGGGAGGGGGGGGAGAAAGTGCATCTTATAGTCCAAAAAATACAGCACTTTGCACATTTCTATGCATTATAAAAGCAGCTAACTTAATTCTTCTATTACTGGTATGTTCGATTTCTATTTGAACATTTGTAAACTCTGGGCATTACATGTCAACTGCTTTAGCAAGAAAACCTGCATTAATTTTGCACCTGTTCCACGTAACATTTTTTATATAGGTAGTCTTCAATTTATGACTGTAATGGAGGCTGCCCATCACAGTTGAGACTGTTGTAAATTTGGTTACCCATAGGATTGACTCAATTTTACAATATTTTGTGGCAGTTGTTAAGTGATCATTACACAAATCAATTGTTTGCTGAAAACTGGAAGTAAATGCTGTTTTTTGCCGTACATGCTAATTTTTGTCATAAAGTCATTGGGCCATGGGATGCTGCAAACACCCATAAATGGGGACTGGTTGGGAGGGCCCGACATGCAGTCATGAGACTATGGGGATAGTTATCAGAACTCTGAATCCAGGTAGTAGTAAGTGGCCAGTCATAAATCGAGGACCACCTATAATATTCTTGACTAATACAGGCAAATCTTTTATTTTTTATCTTTTAAAATATTTTTCCTCTTTTGCAAATAACTTCTCCTTCCTAAATCAAGTGTTGGTCCTACCTGAACGCTGTTTCTCTTCCAACGGGGAGAGAGAAGCCAGAAGTGGGTGGTTGCTTCTTCTTCCTTCCGGTCGGAGACTGAGCCTGCCATCTTCCTTGGCAGGGTGGACTCTGCCTCCTGGAGGCCTGAATGGTCCTGGTGACTCTAGTAGGGAGCTTACCCTGGATCCTGGCCCTCCTTTCAAATGCTACACAGCCACCTAGAGCCACTGAGGCTCCAGACGGACCAGGGCCCCCTAACTGAGAGATATCCGCCCCCGAAGTATTCTCCACGGGCAGACTACTGACGGATCCACCAGATCCGCAAACGATGCCCTCCTGAGCCAAGAAAGGGCCACTAATAGCACCTCTGCCTGTTCCTGTACCATCTTCCTGACTACGGCTGGTAAGAGCGGCAGAGGAGGAAAGGCATATGGAAGACCTCTGGGCCACAGGATGGGATGGGCGTTGGCCCCTTCCTCCCCCGCTGACGCAAACCTGCTCAGGTCCAGGAATGGGATGCTGAAACGCTCTGACAGCTCCCGGAATATGGAGGGGTGAAGTTGCCACTTTGATTGGTCAACTGCTGACCTGCTGAGGAAATCTGCCTGCACATTCTGCACCCCTGCTGTGCTCTGCCTTGAAGGGCAAAAGGTTCCTCTCTGCCCAGAGACGAAGAAGACTTGTCTCCTCCATGAGGGACTGCATCCCCCCCCCCCCATCTGTTTATGTGGGCCTTGGTAGCCACGTTGTCTGTTAAGCACGTAACTCCCCACCACATGCTCCTTGAAGCGCTTGAGCGCAAGGTGGACTGCTGTGAGCTCCAGCCAGTTGATGCTGTGATGCAGCCCGGTTCAGCCAAACTGGCAGGGACAATTGGCATCAGTTCTCCGAACCGGTGACGATGGTTGGACAGCCCCACTGTCCCTGGGCCATCAGAGACTGCAGGTGGCTCCCCAACCAATGAGACAGGCGTCCGTCGTTAAGGTAAATCCGCTGGGCTCCCTGAAAAGGCTCCCCTTGAGCAGGGCCCGAGATGTCCACCACCGAAAGGAGTGCAGAACTCTCCGAGGGATCCTGACCTTGACCAGTAAGTTGCTCCTGCCTGCCTGCCTTCTGATAGGGAAGAAGAAACCATTGCAGGGGCCTGGCGTGGAGACGCACCCACGGAACTATGGAGATGCACGAAACCATCTTGCCCAGGAGCTGGGACAAGATCACCAGTGTCACCACGACATCCGCCTGAATGCGTTGAACCAATGACTGCAGACTGTGTCTTAACTTCTGCAAGAGGGAGACCACGCACGAGGACGTGTCTATGAAGACTCCCAAACGGAGTAGTTGGAACGAAATGACTTTTCCTGATGTTGATGGACAAGCCGTGCTCCTTGAGCACCTGTAGAGTCACCCGAAGGTCCACTTCCGCCCGAGTCTGTGACAATGACTGGAGTAGGATGTTGTCTTATATAACACTGAAGCCTGAAAGGGAAGGACCCCAGGTGGGCCACTCATGTTGCCAGCAGCTTCGTGAACGCCCTTGGAGCTGATGACAGTCTGAATGGGAGGGCTCTGTTCCAGGGGTGAAATCCTCCTGGTTCAGCCCGGCTCGGCCAAACTGGCAGGGACAATTGGCATCAGTTCTCCGAACCGGTGGCAAAAATCCCTGGTGGTCCCGCCCACACCCACCTGGTCGCCCTGTCGCCGCTCACCTCTCTTGGCCATTCCCTTTGCTGCTGCCCTCTGGCTGGGAGCTCTCTGTTCCTGTCTATGGGGAGCAGCCTGGCGCCCACTCCCCTCTCCTGCCTGCCTCTGCCAGCTGGTGGAAGGCACAGAGCCTGCCATAGCCCACCTCCAAAGCCACGGAGCCCACGGCTGGATTAAGAGCCACTGTAGCTTGAAACTGTGCATTAAATATGCCCGTGCCTCTCTCCAACCCCCCCCCGGGCAGCGAGCCCTCCTTCAGCTGCTCCTGACCCTAGGCTCTCCCACTGCCTACCTTGGCCAGAAGGAAAGGATCCCCTCTCCATCCCTAGAAGCGGCCCTGGAGAATCCGATCGCAGCACAGGCTGCTAGCCTATCGGCCGCTAGGCACACAATTCAAACTTCTCCCATCCCCGATCTCTGAAGCTCTGGAGTGAAGCTCTCTCTGAAAAGGTTGCCTTCCCGATCAAAGACCGAGCAGACGTGGGAAGGAGTCTCCAGGCAAAGGAGTCACGGCCAAAGAAGATGCAGAGTCTCCGACCGGAAGGAAGGAGCAACCACCCCTCTCCTGGCATCTCTCTCCCCAGTTTGAGGGAGAAAAACTATGTTGACTTGTGGTCTCCTCACTTTGTAAATGTTAACGTAATCCTCAAATTCTGTTTCTGCATTTCAAAAATTAAAGGTAGGAGCAAAGGAAGAAGAGGAAATGCCGAAGTAAATCAGATCAGAAAGAACCACAACCAGGGTACGGGACTCCAGTTATACATAGGAAACAATTCTAGATATGCAAGCAATATACTTTAAGAAATGTGCCAGCTTCACCTCCCACCTTCATGGAAATTTTGAATTTTTGCAGCTGTTCAGCACAAAAAAGGCCCCTTTTCCCCTCCTGCTTAGAAAAATACGGAGAAATCTGTAAGGAAAAGGATGCCCCCTTTTTAGCAATGCTCACATGCTGCAGTCGAAGCCCCCTGATAATTGAGCGGGAGCACAATATGAAAGATAGGACACAGATAAGGATCACCACCACATCAAAGAACATCCGGAAACGGTTGTCTCCTGCAAAAAAGAAAACAAGGCAAAGTTAGGAATATGCAATGAAGCAGGAAGCTACAGAGCACAGAACAGAGAACATCCCTTCTTACAGGAATGTCATCCAAATAGGCTTGACGGAAGTGGGCAGGAAAGAGCAAACATGTAGCATCAGTAATACCAAAATGGCAGGTGGAATAAACCACATGAGATTTTAAGGGTTTTTTTAAATTTTAAACCAAAGGATGCAGTTGCTTAACCAAAAGAGAGCATGGATAATAGTGGAAATGTACATGGAAAACAGTCTTACCTGAAGGGTTAGACTAGCAAAATTGACTAAAGACATTAAGAAATATATTGTTTTGTTCTCCAAAAATGGAAACTACTGGGTTCAGCCATAAAAAGGTCTGACTTAGTATGATGCCCACTGGCAGAGGGATGTGTTCTTCCAAGTCATGAAGCAATAAGACTCTATTGCAAAAAACCCTCTACCTCCACTCAGGAAATCTCCCCAATTATAGCACAGACTCAGATTTCCATTTCAATCAGGCTTTCGTCCAGGACATGGAACTGAAACAGCTGTGGAGGGCTTAGTGTGTGTGACTTTACACCATGAATTAAATGTAGAGAGGAGAGCCCTGCTAGTTCCCTTTTGGACTTTTTAGCAGCTTTCAAGTTGATACCTAAAGAGGAGGCAGACCTTACGCAAATTAAGAACTACAGGCCAATCTCCTTGCTAAACTCAAGACTATAAGTTATCCGCATCTATACTGGCAGAGAGTCTTAAAAAATATCTAAATGGGTTTATCCACCCAGATCAAAATGGTTTTTTTTTTACCAAAGAGACAATTAAAGGATAACATAAGAATAATTTTGGACACCTTGGAATACTATGAGGCTGATTCTGAAAAGCAAATGGCTTTGATGTTTCTTGATGCGCAGAAGGCTTTAGATAATGTGAACTGGCGATTCATGATACAACAAATGGAAGAAATGAACTTTGGTAAGAATTTTATTCAAGCTATACAAACGGTATATCACAAGCAAACAGCTAAGATAATGATAAATGGAGAATTGACAGACCTTATTGAAATAAAGAGAGGTACGAGACAAGGCTGCCCGTTTTTTGTCTTAACGCTAGAAGCCTTAAATAGAAGGATCAGAGAAGAGGAAGAAATAAAGGGAATAACTATTAAAAAAAGAAGAATATAAGAATATAAGTTGCAAGCGTTTGCAGATGATTTAGTTTTTATTCTCAGGGAGCCACTTGAATCTGCACCTAAATTGATTTTAAAAAATTGAGGAGTATGGAAAAGTAGCAGGCTTGAAAATAAATAAAGATAAAACAAAGGCAAAAAACATACCATCAAAACAAAAAGAAGAATTGGCGGAAATCTTGGAGATGCAAGTTACGAACAAGGTCAAATATTTGGGGATTTCTTTAACACCTAGATGTAGTACTCTAAAAGAGGATAGCTATTTTAGATTGAAGCAACAAATCGCAACGAACTTGATGAAATGGGAAAATCTACAATTATCAATGATTGGGAGAATCTCAACAATTAAAATGAACATTTTACCTACAATCTTATACTTGTTCCAGAAAATCCCAATTAGGTCGGGGAAAGACTATTTTGAAGATCTAAAATAGCTATCCTCT